AAGGCATATAAATGCATATTTTCGAACTTTTAAGTGCATATTTTAATGCATATTTTGACAATTTTTGGTGCATGAATGCATGCTTATTTATGCATTTTTTAGTGCATGAAGTTACGAGCCCTGATTATAACAAATTGCTTTATTTTTTATATGTACTTCTGTTACAATAATATATGAACTGTACTTATATAATTATGAAGTGTATTGGGTAAGATTTTTGGCCGTCAATTTATTGGTTATTTGCACATAGATCGAATGATAATTAAGAATATGTCAGTGCACTATTTGTTTTCTCTCTCTAGCCCACGTGCAACATTTACAAAACGCATTTACGCAGAATCATTTTTTTTATGTTTTTAAGTTATCTTAGAATAAAAACACCCATTAAAAAAACAATCAAGAATAATAGTTTTGAGGGAATGGCATATCGATTTACAAAATTTTTTTTGTTTATTTTGAAAGTCAAATAACAATAAAATATATAATAGTTATGTCATACCTACCCTCAAAAATATTATCCTCCATCATTTTTGTAATAGTTGATTTCACTCTAACATTACTCAAAAATCATAAAAAAACGATTTAAGGTGAAATCGTTTTATTTATGTTGCTCTAAGGTCTGAGACAGAAAATATATATTGCACTGACATCCTCTTAACAATTTCAACTAAATAAGATGTCCAACAATATGTGCAAATTCCAAAATCAATACAATTAAGTAATAATTGTGCTGTATAGTTACAGGTGGCGTGTGCTTCAAATATATCGATGATGTAATGAACTATAAGTCATTATTCTGGCCTTAAATAAAGCATAATAACCTCGAAGATAAGCTGTGTGAACGCATAGCGAATATTTATTGCTATGATTAAAAACTCTTGAGAATACAATTGTACTTGATATTTGTTTTGGTAAAGTTAACCAAAACATGAAACTGCTGCCGAATCGGTTAATTCGTACTAATCCAATCGAATACTAATCAATAAGTAATAACATAGAAATGAAGATTAATTGTGTGGACCAGTTTTATTTAGTTATTACCAAAAATGAACTGAAATAACTTTGTATCAATCCGTCAGTTCAACGAAATATTTTAATCAAACAGGTTACCTATACGAGCAAAAAGTCTTTAAAACCGAGAGAATTTTTTTTTATCAGAATTCAAGTACCTATATAAGTATCTATCACTCTATTTATATTATCTTTGTAAGGGTATATAATATATATAAAGATGTCACTACAGTTTAGAGCATACACTTATAAAATTAGTTAAATGAAACCGGTTTGAGCAATAAAAATTGATTAAAGGATGTATAGAACTTCAGGTTTCATCACGGTTTAAATTTATCTATGAATAATACTTGAGGGCCATAGAAAATGAATATACCAACTACCAAGACTCAAATCGAGATATAAAAACGAGATACAAATCTTCAATTAAAATCTTTTATTAACTTATCATCTTATCCCATCGAAAATACTACAGAATAAAATCTTGTTATAATATGATAACAAACATTGTCGTTCAGTTGTCTGGGTTGAAATCAAAACACGCTATAACATAAGTGAATAATTTACTCACCATTTTCTTCACAACAAAAAACACAACTTTAATTCGTAGAATATCAAATAATGTTAACAATAATATAAATATTAAAATTATGCATTTATACTACTTGAATTATCATAAATCATAATATTATTGTACTAGTATTTTAATACATTTTTAATGAATTTGGTTTTTAGCTTTTAATGCTCTATTTTATAATGATTATTCTTATGTTATGTAATGCGCCTAATTTTTTTCAAAATATTTTCGTGATTTCTAGAGTGAATTTAAGAGATTGTCTTATACTAAATAGTCAGGTTAATGCTTCAGTTTTAAACTTCAGTATCTTGTTCGATTGGAAAGTGAATATTGTTGGTGCATTGGGGAAGTCAAAATTTAAAATTCCTAGTAATTTTAAAAAGCGCCAAGAAAAACAAAAGAAAAATTAAGGAAAACGAGAATTTTTACTCAAAATCGGTTTTCCACAAAATCGATTTTGGTTTTTGGTTTAACTCTATAACAAATGAACGTAAATACATGAAATTTTCACTGGTAGTTTATATTTGCATTTTCTATAGGTACACGATAAAATTTTGATTTGTTTTAAACTGTTAAGGAACATTTCCAGTTTTCAATTTTATTAGTATTTTTTTCTATGAATGTCAATAAAACTTTATTTTTTGGGTAAAAAAGCTTGAGAATTAAATACAAGGCTCCTACTATATTGTTACAATGAAATTTGAAAAATATTAAAAATTCTTAGTCTCAATTTTTTTTTATAAGCATTTGAAAGCTAATTATTTTATGTTGAGAATTCATAAAAATTTTTCTTTTTAAATCTTAGATTTTAATTATTCATAAGTTGTCTATCTTTATCAAAAAAAAAATTTCTACAAGCAAATCAAATTAAATTTTTATAAGTGTTTGAAGTTCATATTTGACAATATTGAGTATTCATTCGATTTCTCATTTAGCGGTTTTGTTATTTTGTTGTTATTCAAAAACAAATAACTGTAGATACATAAAAATTTTACTGAATGTTTATATTTTCATTTTCTATACACCAGAAAATATTTAAAATATTTAGACTCTTTTTGAGCTGTTTACGGGCATTGTCGGCTTTCAATTGATGTTTTTAGAAAAAAAAAACTAAAAAAAATGGAAACTGAAAATATCAGTAAACAGCTTAAAATAGGTCAAAATATTTGGAAAATGTTATGGTGTATAGAAAATGGTAATATAAATATTTAGTCAAAATTTCATGTACCTAAGGTCATTTGTTTAAGAGTTGCACCAAAAACCTAAATCAATTTTCTCAAAAACAGATTTTGCGTAAAAATTCCCGTTTTTCCTTAATTTTTCTTTTGTTTTTCAAGGCGCTATTGAAAACTACTGGAAAATTTTTGCTTTTGATCCGTCAAAGTACCAACCGGTTTAATTTTTCTATTCGTAAAAATTTTTCTTTTTAAATCTAAAATTTTAAAATGTAATACAAGATTCCTTCTAAGAATACCTACCTTTATCAAAAAATGTCTGTAAGAAAGTCAAATTAAATTTTTATGAGCGTTTGAAATTCAAATTTTTACAACATTGGATATTCACTCGATTTCTCATGTAGCGATTTTCTTATTTTGTTGTTATTTAAAAACCAATGACTGTAGATACATGAAAATTTCACTGAATGTTTATTTTATCAATTCTTATACTTGATAAAATTTTCAAAATATTTCGACTTTTTTTGAGCTGTTTACGGACAATTTAATATTTAAATTTTTTTTTCTGTGAATATCAATAAAGTTTTATCTGTTTGTAAAAGTACTTAAGCACAGTTTATTTTTATAGTAATTTTAAGTTCAAATTTGGAAGAAATTACATATTGAAAACCTAGATTAACTATTTTAGTTATTTTATTGTGATTGTATAATACGTATTATTCGTGGGTAATAGAAACTCCTAAAGTATAACTATTATCTATCTATTATAGTATCACGGTTTGTTGTTGATGTATAACAAGTTATAAGTACCTAATGGCTATTTGATATGATTAATTTGGAATTTATTATAGGTCTAATTTTTTTTATAGGTACCTATTACGGGTCAATTTTTTTTAATACCTTAGATAAGTATATAATATGTCTTATACCTAGACTGACATACCGTCTCCGCTCAGAGTCGTTTTTCTTATACAATGATATTACATTATTGAATTCAAAATTAATACCATTAATTATACAGTGACCCACTTATAACCTACTGTACAGCAGAGCGACTTTTTATTTAGACCTATAGTAAATAATAAAATACAATTTTCAAATGTTTTCCTTGTCATTAGTGTCTTTATCATTGTATAAAAATAGAGTTTATAGGTGTTCAGTGTTGTTATGTTCATACTAGTACAATATCTATTATGATTTAAACAACTTGTTGTGAATCTATTTATTTGCATAAAATTAATAGCTAGGCTACATTATGTATAAGTACTTATATTATTTTTTACTGGCCTATTTAAACAAACGAAGAATACAAAGTGGGCGCTTGAAGTAGTATTATACACTATTGAGGTTTTTTTTATGGATTCGAGCAATGTTCCTTAGGTTAGCCTCCGACTTCGGCAAATCAATTAGTAAAATGATCCAATTATTGCAAATGGACTTGAAATTTATTTTTTAGAATTTGCAAATCAATATTTTGTTTAGCTATTTAATAAAATCTCGGTTTTTTGGTATCCACCAATAAAATTCTTGTAAGACTCGTCAAATACAATATACAAATTTATTTAAAAAAAATAATTCGTCATTATTTTGCAAGATAATAAGATAATATCACTTTCTTGAATCGATCGGCAAAGTCGGGATAGTTGGATCCCCTCAATCGTTTTCAGCTTATACATCAAATGGCTTAAGTATTTGCACTTTCTAAAAATCAATACATTCCCAAAACAATGGTGCATTTTTTTAAAAATCCAAGAAATCGGACATCGGTCTAAGGCAGAACATTTTTAAACCTTAATTCTTTTGAATTCCCACTCGTCAGGAATCTCAATTGCGTGATATTATCTCACGTGTAATAAGTGAGTCGTCCCGAAAACGCAAAGAAAACACACGTCACATATCTTGAGCAGTATTATATTATCATATTACAGATAGACCATATATTATTGAGATACTACAACTACAGTTGCACTCATTTCGTTACTGATCAACACTGTTATCTCGACCTGTTGCAAAGTAGTGTGGCTACGTCTCGGTCGGTCCCATAGATTATATTACTGTTGGTCATCAGTCTCGCTAAAGAGTGTACGCGACGAGCACGCAATTTCTTTTACGCACACTTACTGATTTCACTACCTAATCTTTGCACTATAATCATTGCGTGTCTTCGTGTTTACTAAACAGTGATATATATTGCAAATGAACTAAGCTTTTCGTTGTTCACTCACACATCTATTCAAATGGAGTTATCCGGCATGGACAGATTTTGCGGATCCACTTTTTGGGTAAGTCTCAGGTTTTCGTGCAGACTTTTTGTAAATTTTTCTGTGGCCATTTAAACAACCATAAAACATATGCTTATATAGTAATTAGTATTGTATATTGTATTGTTATTTACGTGTTGAAAATACAACTCCGACGTGTCGGTGTGTAGACGTCGATACCAATATTATTGAATCTCTGTTTTCGTATATATTTAGGACTGGAACTTATCCTGGAACACCACCGATCCTGATGTTACACCGTGTTTTGAAAAGACGTTTCTAGTCTGGGCACCATGCCTATTTTTGTGGCTTTTTTCTCCACTAGAGATCTATTACTTAGTGAATAGTAAATACAGGGACATACCATGGAACTGGCTCAATATGGTGAAAGTGGTAAGGTTTTTTTTCTTTGGCTCTATTAAATATTTATTACCGGGTTTAAATGTTATATAATAATTATATTTGGAAAAAATACACTTTATGTTGTGAATAAGTATAAATCATAAAATTAAATTCTAAAAATAGATTAAGATTATTTAGTTAAACCAAAGGCTTCACATTTTTATGTTCGGTAGTAATGTTATTACATTTCTCGTCTATGTACAATCCTACAATAAAATCGCACAAATATTCCAGACTATAAAATATTATTAACCTGTATAATAAATATAAAATTGTATTTCAACTGTAATATATTAATTTACATTTTTGTTAAATTATTTAAACTCAAAAATTTTAACTATATAAAATATTATCATGTTTATAAATTCATAAGTGTTACATTATTATGTTGGATTATGTTTGGATAATATGTATAGTAAAACACACACACACACACACACACACACACATACACACACGAAAACTAGCATAAATCAATCCATCGACAGACGGTAGTGTAGGTGTATTAAATTGTTATGAAATGAGTAACGTTAACTTGTTATCTGAACTGTTATTGTGTACACTTATTTTTGGTTTTTAATTTCTTTCATAAAGATTAAATATTTTTTGACGTTTTTATATAATATAATTATCTGTTTATATATTTTATAGGCTGGTGTATCTACATTATGTATAATATCAACACTCGATTTTGTATATGCAATAATCCTATATTCATCTGGGATGGCTGTATTTAGTGTAGATATCTACACACCACTTATAAAACTAATAACATTTGTAAGTATTCTGATTCTAAGATATGTTTGGACTAAGATCATATCCGATCATTAAAAATAATATTTTAGTGGACATCAATATTTTCTTTGGAGTTAAATAAAACCAAACTTGGTTAGAAATCATCAACATAAGTTTAAGTCATTAATATTAATTCATGTATAGGTATGTGATATGAAAGATACTGATTGTTTTGTAGTTTTTAATATTTAATATTTTGGTGTGTGATTGTAATATAGCATCATTCATTCATCAGAGATTATACCTCTATATTTTGCTATACATTTTTACCTATTGAATTGAAGAATTGATTTACAGGGATTTGCCACAGTTTTAATTATTGCCAATCGAATAAGAGGATTAAGGTCATCTGGAATAATATTTCTGTTTTGGTTATCCATGGCATTTTGTGGGATGGTTCAATATCGTACGGAACTCCGATCAGCATTTAATGATGTATTATAAACTTAATATCCATCTTTTTTGATTTATCAAACTACAGAAAATTGTACCTATAATTTATAATATATTTCCTTATGTTTAGGTTCCATTACATAACTACCAATTTATAAGTTACATGGTGTACTACCCTATAATCTTAATAGAGTTTGTTGTAAGTTTCTTTGCCGATGCCGAACCTAGGAAATCTGACTATTATTCTGTCCAGGTACATTTTCCAACACATTCTCGTATTTTATTAATTATTTAATACACATTTCTGTATGGTTAATCAATTTCTAGGTACCATGTCCTGAGATAAAAGCATCATTTCCATCTAAGGTAATATATTTATGGTTTGACTCATTTGCTTGGTCTGGCTACAAGCGCCCCATAGAACCCAAAGATTTATGGAATATGAACTATGACGATACTTCACAAATTGTAGTTTCAGTCTTTGATAAACATTGGAAAAATTCTTTAATTAAAGCGAAGTAAGTACCAAGTATATACCTATTAGGAATGACGATGATGCAGATCATTGATTTGTAACTCATTAGTACCAAAAGTCCAAAACCACATAATGTTTACTAAATTCTTAAATCAATGTCACGTAAAAATTGTTTTTGTGTATTATTAATTATTATAATTAGTAAGTACCTATCTACTTATTATTGTAATAAATAAAATAAAAAATATTTTACAGATTACATGATAGTAAAAAAGTACATTCCATTAAAAATAAACTTAATATGAGTGTAGATGATACAAAATACACACATCAAAATCAATACAAAGTATCAATTCTTCCTGTTTTATGCAAATCATTCGGCAGTACATTTTTATTTGGTTCATTCTTAAAATTAATTGACGATTGCTTAGTTTTTGTTAGTCCTCAAGTACTCAAGTAAGTATTTCATTTATAATACAGTCTTCACGGCATGTTATAAATAATACTTTTTTTTAGGCATTTGATAAGTTTTGTTGGAAATTCGACTGAGCCTTTATGGAGAGGATATTTTTATATTTTTCTCTTGATGATGACAGCGATGTTGCAAACGATAATATTATCTCAGTACTATCATCGTATGTACCTCGTTGGTATGCGTGTTCGTACTTCACTTACTTCTGCCATTTATCGAAAGGTATACATTTAAGCAACCTTTTGTATTTACAGTCAATATAATCCATAATAATTGAGTTCAGTATATTTTTTTTATACATTTTTTAACTAATTTTTTAAAAAGTTATTTTTTTAAACTTTTTAACTTAACTGGTTAATTATTTTTGTTTTTACCTTATTAACTTATTCAGTTAAAAGTTTTATGGTTGTAACTTAAGTTTTTATGTTAATTATCTTTGTCGTGCGGTTAAGTTAATTTTTTTTTTCGTGTCATGCGGAAACAACTAGACATAACTGATTCGGTGACTCTTTTTCGATTTTTGTAATTTTTTTTCTAATCATATATTATTATAATAATCTCATTTTTACACAGTGTTAAACGTCTTAATAAGTGATTGTGCAAATTAAAATACTAGGGAATTTTATTACTTAAAAATACTGAGGTAAGGTTAGTTTATTTACCATCTCAACTTTAAACTTATCTAATTAAATTTTTTTTGTTAACTTCTAACTTAACTGAATTGGCAATTTAATTTAATTAATTTAACTTAACACAGTTATTTATTTTCTTTAACTTCCCCACCTTTGGTATTTACAGTTAGTATAATTCATAATAATTGCGTTCTATATATTTGTTATTTATATATTTCTTAACTAATTTTTTAAGGCTTTAAGAATTTCAAACACAGCAAAAAAATCATTCACAACCGGTGAAATAGTTAATTTAATGGCCGTGGATGCATATAGATTTATTGATTTGATAACTTATTTGAATATGATTTGGTCTGCACCATTACAAATTGCTCTTGCAGTATACTTTTTATGGCAGCTATTAGGACCCAGTGTACTTGCTGGACTATTTGTGATGATTATATTAATACCAATAAACGCCGCTGTGGCTGATAAATCAATGAAACTTCTCATCAAACAAATGGCAAACAAAGATGAAAGAGTTAAATTAATGAATGAAATATTGTCCGGAATAAAAGTAATGTTTTTTTAATGATAATTTTAAACAATAACCATAATACATTTTTGTATAAATATAGTACTTATGAATAATAATTTATAAATCAGGTCTTAAAACTATATGCTTGGGAACCAAGTTTTGAACAAAAAGTATTGGATATTCGAGGAAAAGAAATTAAAATTCTTCGCAGTGCAGCTTATTTGAGTGCCACTACTTCGTTTATTTGGTCGTGTGCACCATTCCTGGTATGTACTTTTTACTAATAAAAATTTTCCTAAAACGAATTTATTTATAACACTTAAAATAATATTTATGAACTTTTTATGTAATGAATGTTTTTTTGTATAGTTTTAAGAGCAATTTTTAGGTACCTACGTGTGTTCCGCTGCAGAACAAACAAATTAATATTGCTTAAAAGTTCAGAATATTTTTTTTTTATTGACAGAAATTGATTGATGTAATAAATTTAATTTCAAACATAGAAATCTTTTTTAATCTTTTATATTTATAAATCAAAACTATTTGTGAACTAAATTCTACAATGGAGTAGAATAATGTAGAAAAAATAAAATTCAGATCCCTAGTTGCATATTTTATTTATTTAAATAGGTTTAATGGTTTATAAACTCGTTAGCATAAATGATTATTGAATGAAATTTCAAATGCTATAATTATGCTGAAATCTTTAAATATATAATGAACTGGTTGACCTTATTGGTAAACATTTAAAATAATTAAACTATGATACATATTTTATATCTAGGTATATATTAATAATTAATATATACAATTATTGTTATTATCTGTTTAATAGTTATTGAATAATATATGGTATTTTATTATACTTAGGTATCATTAGTAACTTTTGTAGTATATGTATTATCAGACGATAGCCATATATTGGATGCACAAACAGCTTTTGTTTCTTTATCTTTATTCAACATTTTACGTTTTCCATTATCCCTTTTACCAATGGTTGTGTCAAGTATTGTTCAAGTAAGTGGTCCATTTACAGTCATCGTAAATATATAAATAAATGCTGTTATCTTAATGAATTTATTAATTTTAATAGACTAGTGTATCAGCAAAGAGAATAAATACATTTTTGAACTCTGAAGAGTTGGATCCAGATTCCGTCACTCACGATTTTAATGAAAGTAATTAATAAATTAAATTTTTTTTAAATAACAATTTATAAAATAAAAATAGTTTTATATATTGGTTTAATTGTATTGATTAATTTTGAGTAGAGGATCCAATTGTAATTGAAAATGGTACATTTACATGGGGGAAACCAACTGAAGCACCAACATTATCTAACATAAATTTACGAGTCTTATCTGGACAATTGGTTGCTGTGGTAGGAACTGTCGGTTCTGGAAAGAGCTCTTTACTATCTTCTTTACTTGGTGAAATGGATAAAGTTTCTGGCAGAGCTAATACTAAAGTATGACAATTAAATATTATATGTGTAATATGAGTAATACTAAAGGACTTTATGTTTAGGGATCAATTTCATATGTACCACAACAAGCCTGGATACAAAATAAAACACTTAAAGATAATATATTGTTCGGTCAGTCCTTTAATGATAAAGCTTATAATAAAGTTATTGATGCATGTGCATTAAAAACTGACTTCCAAATGCTTCCAGCAGGCGATGTCACAGAAATTGGTGAAAAGGTATTTTCTATAATTAAATAATGTATTTGTACCTATATAATATTGATAACTTTATAGGGAATTAATTTAAGTGGAGGCCAAAAACAAAGAATAAGTTTGGCAAGAGCAGTGTATAAAGAAAGTGACATCTATTTTTTGGATGATCCACTAAGTGCTGTTGACTCACATGTCGGTAAACATATTTTTGAACACGTTATAGGACCTACAGGATTGTTGAGAAAAAAAGTAACAATAATATATTTTATTACATTTTCGTAATCTTGATTTTTAACATACTAAATTTTTATTTCAAAGACACGAATTTTGGTCACTCATAGTATAACTTATCTCAGAGATGTTAATTTAATTGTGGTAATGAAAGATGGTCAAATATCAGAGACTGGAACATATAAAGAATTGATTGATAAAAAAGGAGATTTTGCCGATTTCTTACTATTGCACATGCAAGAACAAAATGAAATTGACGAAACAGGTAATATAAATGTAGCTTTGGTAATTCAAACACTTTCAATTTAAAGTATTTATTGAAATTGATTTATTTAGAAATTGATAAGTTATTAGAAGACGCACCTGCAGATTTAAAAGAAAAGTATGTTCGCCAGAGAAGTGAATCCAATTCGGTTTCTTCAATGCAAAGGTAATAAAAATATCAATAATAATAAAGGTCCTTATTATAACAAACTCATACGAGATGATTAATTAAAATATTTAGGCAAATATCTATTGATTCAAATAAATCAACTCCTCGACCTGACGTGGAACAGATAGCTAAAATTATTGAATTAGAGAAAGCAGAAATTGGCAATGTATGTGTGTTTTTTTTAATAAATATATAAATCAAACATTATGTAATGATTTAATTAAAATAACATTTTAGATTCTGAGCGGAGCAAGGAAGCTAGTGGTTTTACAATGGTGTTTATTTTTTTTTTTTATATCCTGTATACAAAATTTCTACCAGAAGGAGTTCTTTGATTTCAACATATAGTACCTTATCTTTTAGCAAATTGGACCAAGATGGTACTTTAGAGAGGTCATTTTTCGATTTTCTCAATAGTTATTTAATGCCACGGGAAAAAGTACTGAAAAATTACGAAAAACCGCTTAAAATGGGATTTTAATTTCTAACAATTTGTTTATCACCGTAGCAACGAATAAAAAAAATAATAATAAAATAAATAAAATAATTAATGACAATATAAAATATACAGACTGACAAACCGTCTCCGTTCAGAATCGTTTTTCTTATACAATGATATTATATCATTGAATTCAAGTTTAATACAATCCATTAAACAATGACCAACTTGTAACCTACTGTACAGCTGAGCGACATCCACTTACCTGCCTTTTTTTTTTTAACTTTTAGGTTAAATGGGATGTATTCAATCAGTATATTATGTCAATTGGACCTATATTTTGCGTAACTTCAGTTTTACTAACTTTTTTATTCCAAGGACTTTCTATTTCATCGAACATCTGGCTGTCTGTATGGTCTAATGACGATAGTTCGCTTACTCGAGAAACGGAAAATGATAGCAAAAGGTTTATGCACTTAACAGTTTACGGATTACTTGGCTTTGGTCAAGGTAAGTTTGAACATTTCAATTTTAAAAATATAAAAGTACAAAAATAAACTATGGATGTAAATTTAGTTGAATATTAAATTTCTAGATTAGTTTTAATTTTATCTATTAATTACCATTTTCGTGTACATTTTTTTGGCTCTTTTTCAAATTATATCTATTTATTTAATGACTAAGTTATATTTAATTCATGGATTATGTGTATAAATTAACATATACGTGATTTAACCATTGATACAGTTGTCTGGCATTATAAATTATAATTCCTTTGTATATTTTTTGAGCATTCCTAAAATATGATTATAGTAACACGGCGTCCTGGTTATGCAATTTAGATACCCCTTAACCGCACATTTATAATTTTAGAATAACTTCAAAAGACAATTTTTTTTTCTGAATTTAGTTCCATGATCTAACAGTTTCAAGGTTAGGTTAGTTTGGTTCAAAAACATTGACTAATATTCACTTTTATACTCTAAACAGCTCAAACAATGTTCACACAAATATTATTCGTCTATTATTTAAATGTTTTTTAGTTATGTAATGTATGTAATACTTTTTTATGCATTTCTATGATGTTTATTTACTATATTATTACAACTAATTAATATATAAACAAAAATTTGTTTCTTTTTTTATGTTTATGTTTCATTTGTGTATTTATGGTAATTTAATATTTTTTATAGTTGTTTCTACAGTATCATCATCAATAACTTTATCGCTGGGCTCTGTTCTTGCTGCTGAAAAGTTTTACAAATTGATCAACGAACGAATTTTTAAGAATCCTTTAAGCTTGTTTGATACAACACCTATTGGGCGTATATTGAATAGAGTATCTAAAGACATTGATACCATTGACAATATATTGCCTATGATGATTAGATCTTTTATAGAAATTCTAGTTTCGGTAAGTTAAGATTTTTGTTTTAGATGCATAATAATATGAACTATGTAGAAGGACTTACATTGTTTCGAATCTAAAATATTTTAAAATACGTTGTCAAAAAAAGGTATAATATATGTTATAGAAATATTTATAAAAATAAAATTTATGTAATATAATTATTAATTAATTGCTTTTAGTGATAACATATTTATAGATCTAATTATAAGAATATGTAGACGTGTGTACTGTCATAGGCGAAACTATAAATTTTTATTAGGGCAGGTCAAATGAAAAATATTTTTATTTTTTTTTATTTTTACAAGATATTTACAATCTATTCATACATAGAATTATAAGCAAATTAGATAATAGTATTAAAAACATGAGTTATATGACGGAAGAAGCCACCCTGATGATACTACCTATTTTGTTTAGAGTTTAGGAGGATTTGAACTAGGATTCAAGCATCTAGCAGGACACCAATTACGTTTGAGACTTCTGACGGTGTTACCCGGAATCGAAGGGACTGCTAGATTTTTTATGAGAGGGTTAGGATGATTAAGTAACCTACTGACTACTGTGAAACCGCTTATAGTAGAGTTTTGCTTCATCTTTGACGGAGTTCATCCTGAGATCTTGCTGAATGGAAAGGTTGGAGACATAAGGTGGAGCATTAAGTAGTTTTCTTAGCTCTGTTTTGGAAGGCTTGTATTTTGTTGATGTTTGATAGTTTTGCATTACCCCAGAGTTGTATGCCATATGTCCGGATGGGCTTAATTAGAGATTTATAAATTAGGAGTTTAGTTTTAGTGTGTGTGTATTTGTTGTTATTGCAAAAAATTTTTAACAGGCGCAGCCGTAGGTTTAAATTTTGTCTTTTAGATTTTAGGTGGGGAGCCCAGGTAAGTCTGCAATCAAGTGTAAGTCCTAAATATTTGACTGTAGAAGAAGTAGGAATTTGAGTGCCATAAATAGATACACCAGGGCAAGGAGAGAGACGAAGTGTGAATGTTATGTGGATAGACTTAGACTAGTTAATTTTGAACCACCACTTGGTATACCAGTCTTCCATAAGGGTTAGGTGATTCTGAAGATTGAGTGAGGCTATTTCCGGATTAGAATTTATAGATATTATTGCCTTGTAGTCTGCATAATCAGCAACTAGAGTGTTTAGGGTAGTAGGCTGATCAGCAGCATAAATATTATAAAGTACAGGGGAGAGTATGCCCCATTGTGGAACACCGGCTGAAATATTGGATATAGTTGAGTGTGCATTACCGAATCTGATTTGAAAATGACGGTCGGATAGGTATGATTTTATGATAAGATAAAAAACAGGGTGCAAGTTTTTTTTTAATTTAACAAGAATGCCATCGTGTCATACTCTGTCGAACGCTTGTGAAACGTCTAAAAAGGCGCAGGTACAATACTGTTTTTTTTCGAGTGAGAAGGAGATGGCGTCGACAATTCTATGCACCTGATGAAAATTAATTCCGAGTTTAGTCACACACTGTCTTTTTGACAGGTTTGTGACTTTAAAAATACCTATAAATTCAACAAAAAATAGATAATTCTTTTAAATAGCATTAAATGATAGCTTGACTTGGACATTGAAGGTATTAAAGTACACGAAATAATGTAAATTACTTACGATGAGTAATTTGAAAAATTATAAATACCCGTGCGTTTAGACAGCGATGGTTAATAATACGAGGGTTAATAATAAATAAATTATTTGGGGATGTACTAGTGTATAATAATAATAATTAATATAGTATTATATTTTAAATAATAATTAAAATATTTGACTTATCCTCTATCTATAAAAAAAATTCTAATTAATAATTATCTCTCCGTGATTTTCTAATGTTAAACGGGAGAATCTTGTGAACGCTGCCACCGGTCAATGATAAAAATATGAATTAATAATAAAAGAAATAATATGAAAATATTAAAGTACGTATAATCGTCAAATGTCTAAATTAAACAATAACTGATCAAACCGATTATTCGAGTATATAGAATAGACTATACGACTCCATATTTCCATAATCAATGTTAAAAATACATTTTATTATTATGTTCGTTGTGTAGTGTACTAGTGTGTACAATTTAATTTAAGGAATGTTAACAATGTACGTTTACATGTATAAATATATTATTTATAATGCCTAAATAATTATTAAAATATATAATGTATACGCATTTTTCGTCAGTATTAGGTCAGGCCATGTCCTGGCGGGCCTGACCCGTAGTTTCACCTCTGTGTATTGTGTAAATATAAATATAAATTATTCCAACTTAATTAAAATGTATATGAAATATAAAATATATATATTAACCGTATATTTATAATAAAAAATTTTTTTTTAAAAAACACTTTTCTAAAAAAACAAAAAAATAATGAAAAATTTAAAAGTGTGTGGTATAATATGTCAAGTGTAAGAGTGCCACACACTTTTAAATTTTTCATTATTTTTTTGTTTTTTTAGTGTTTTTTAAAAAAAAATTTTTTATTTTTTATTTTCTACTTTTTAGTTAAAAAATTTTTTTACGGATTATTGTATTGTCATCCAAGACCAAGGTCTATACCAATTTTCAGAATTTTTCATCTTCAAAAAGTGCCTCAAATCGAGCGCGCAAGATTTGATCACAGACGGACGTGAAACCAAACTTAAGAAAAGTGTTAAAAAATGTCATAATTTCAATTTATTTTTAGATAAATAATTCTTTAAACAATTCACAGAAGAAAGGGGGGGGGGGTTATCTGAAAAATAGAACTTTCTATTTCCTAAGGACACTTCTTAAATAGTACGAAAATTCTCAAAAATTTGGAAATATGGTCTCTAAGTAAATAATTGTGAATAATCGTGTATATATAGGATTTCTGTATGTTAGATACGAGCTTAGCTCAGTTGGTATACGTATAAGCTCTTATTACTATAATTTACGTTGAGTAAATAATATGTTATTGAGTTATGCTGAAATAAGTAACTCATTACTTGTATACACTTACGTGGATAAAACATATTTTGTATAAGTTTTTTTAAAGCGATAAAATTATATGAATAATTAATAAGTATATATATCTTTAATGATATGATATTGTATTGCAAAATTTCATAAAAATAATTTACGAGAATATATTACTATAGGAAAATATATTGAACATAGGGATTTAGTTATGACGTTTTAATAATTAATTTGTTAAATTAATCAACTTTTTCACATATTTTACCTACATTAAAGTAACACTCATGCGATGTATAATATTTAATGAAAAATAAATGTATTTGAATGGTATATTGCAATATTGTATTTGGAATATAAATATAAAATCATAATTTATGACTCACTACTTGATTTGCATTTTTATATTTATATAAATTAACAATGAAATATGATAAGCTTGTGTGTGCATAACATATCGCAACATACAACTTATTTATTTAATTTAATAGTTAAAAAGAAAAAAAAATAGAAATCTACAAAGATATCGTGTTAGTTATAATTGTTCTATTTTAGGTCATTGGTACATTGATAGTTATCAGTTACAGTACACCCATATTTATAGCGGTGATTATTCCTATTACAATAATGTATTTCATCATACAGGTAAATTATTAATATTAATAATATGTTTAAAATATCTGACAATCATTTTAATATTTTTACGGTATTTGGACTTTTATTTACAGAGATTTTTCATTGCAACATCGCGTCAACTGAAAAGACTCGAGTCTATATCTCGTTCCCCAATTTATTCACATTTTAGTGAAACAGTTACAGGAGCTACATCGATTCGTGCTTACAGTGTAGAATCCAAATTCATACTTGAGTCTGAACAAAAAATAGATTTCAATCAGTCAAGTTACTATCCAAATATCGTGGCCAATAGGTATAATTCATTCATTGTAATCATTTTACGTACGTGCTTTGAGTTTATTAATTTTCTTGAAAATATTTTAGATGGCTAGCTGTAAGGTTGGAAACTATTGGTAATTTTATTATTTTCTTCTCAGCATTGTTTTCGGTTATAGAAAGAGATACGTTAAGTCCTGGTATTGTTGGTTTGTCCGTTAGCTATGCTCTACAGGTATGCATTTATTTTATTAAAAAAAGAGAAAATTTAGTATTTTTCATTATTATTTTTTCCTATCAAGATCACACAATCACTCAATTGGTTGGTTCTTATTACTTCTGAAATCGAAACTAATATTGTGTCTGTAGAACGTATTAAAGAGTACGAAAAAACACCACAAGTAATATATTTAAATAATGTTTGTTTAAACTTATAAACTTCATTATTTATAAACCCAATATTCCTATAATTTTAGGAAGCTGCGTGGGAAGTACCATCAACTCAGCCACCCAGAGAATGGCCAACTAGAGGAGATGTTCAATTTAAGAACCTTAAAGTTCGTTATCGCGAAGGTTTAGATTTAGTATTGAAAGGCTTGGATTTATTAGTGGAAGGAGGCCAAAAGGTGATAATAGAGGAAATATAAGGAATGTGTCTGTAAAATAACGTTACTAATTTAAAAAAATTTAGGTGGGAATAGTTGGGCGTACAGGAGCCGGAAAATCGTCTTTGACTCTTAGTTTGTTCCGTATCGTCGAAGCTGCCGAAGGATCAATTCTTATCGACGGCGTTGATATATCTAAAATTGGATTGCATACTTTACGCAAACGTCTCACAATTATTCCACAGGCAATTATCCGGACATTATTTATTGGTTGAAAAAATATATAATAAATTAAATTAATTTGATAGGATCCAGTATTGTTTTCTGGAACATTGAGAATGAATTTGGATCCAACTAATAATAATACTGACGCACAGCTATGGAGCGCCTTAACACTTGCCCATTTAAAAGCGTATGTTGTAGGGCTGGATGGTGGTTTGGATCACGAAATGTCTGAAGGAGGAGACAATCTCAGGTAACTATAAACAATAGAGAATAAACTTTTTATTATTAATTAATTATTGATAGTTACTTATTAACATATAATTATGATTAGTTCTTGGGAAGTTTGTTTAGAGGGTTTGAGTCTTCTTTCTTAAATGAAATGACATGTTATATAAATTACAGCCATGTAACGTAGGTACTTGAGTACTCTAATACTTTTAAAGTACTCAAATTTGTATTTTAAAAAATAAAATTTAATACTAAAAAATATTGAGAATTTATAATAATATTTATAAAATTTCTGTGAATTATGATCAAATGAAAATTCAAATAATTCGAAAAAAAAATTTTAAAATGCAAGTTATGTTACAATAGTTAGGTGCAAATGTAAAATGCTTTATAATATCAAACGTAAAATATGAAAATTAAATTAGTTAATGCATAAGATAGAGATTAAACTATCTCCTTTTTTATCGAGTATTCTAATACGAAATATAAATACTATTGGAAATAAATATCTACATATATGTATATGGTCATAGTTAAAATGTTCTTATGTCTAATAACTTTTAACATATTATTATCAGCCATACAGTTTATTTATTAATATATTATATACGCCGATCGGCAATTTTATGATTACATTTAAAATTAATATATTAATATGTAATAAATGTTTATAACACACAGTAAGACCAAACATAGTATAGAAAATAAAACTCAATACAAACATAATATTCCTACTATATAACTACTTCAGTTGAAGTAGTTGTAAATAAACAGTGAAAAATTGGCAAGAATATAAATATTATATACTATATTCATGTCAATATTAAGAATTATGAATATATTGCCCTGCTCTATTTTATTATTAACCATTGTGTTTCAGTGTGGGCCAAAGACAATTGGTGTGTTTGGCAAGAGCATTGCTAAAGAAGACAAAAATATTAGTGTTGGACGAAGCGACGGCGGCAATCGATTTGGAAACGGATGATCTCATACAGACCACCATACGAACGGAATTCAAAGACTGCACAGTGTTGACGATCGCTCATCGTCTGAACACCATTATGGATTCAGACAAGTACTTAAACTAAACAACATAATATCGAACAGAGTTATTGGATATAATTAATATATTGAATTCGTTGTTTCCGTGTAGGGTTATTGTTTTGGACAATGGTTTCATGATAGAATACGACTCGCCTGCCAATTTGCTTCAAGACAAATCGTCGGTTTTCTATTCGATGGCAAAGGACGCAGGTTTAGCGCAATAACGATGCTCCTACAATGGTGTAGCACCGAGGTTTTTATTTCGTTAACATGTCGACATTTACTAAAAATTCCGTAATATTTTGTCAGATAATTTATTTAAATGTGACATATTATGTTATTGTTGTCGAGTAATCGTAAATAATAGTTTAGAAGTTTCTACCTAACCCATACGTATACCCTACAGGTGCGCCGTGTGCCATCGAAATCGGTCTGTGTAATACCAATCTCACTTAAGGCGACGGTCCGTAATTTTTGTTTGTTCTACATTGATCACACTATTGCTTTTGATTTCATGACGATCGTAAAAATATCACATAGAATAATTAATATTATAAATGATTTTACGTTGATTTTTGTGACGTTCTGTTTTCCGTGAACAAAGTATTTTCCTGATTTAATTTTTATCTGTTTTTATATCCTGTAATAGGTCGTCTGCGTCGCATAGCGAATACTTACCGTTGTTCCATTTTATTTTATAAGTATATGTTTATTCTTATGTATTAATTCATTGTTAATTATGTCTTGTACTCACGGTACATAATAATTACATACCTACCTATTTTATACGTAATATTATGTTCGGCGTTTTAAGTATTATACATAATAGCTGATATTTTACTATCTTCGAATAAAATACAAATTGTATAATTTTATTATATTTTGTGTAAATAAATACATTTTTGAAAGTAATGTTTTTGTTTATTTTAGGTACCTTATTATTTTGAAAAACGGGTACTGTGAAACTGTTATAAACTCTATTGCCTGTAAGTGAAACGAAGACAGTAAATATTGGTGGTTTCTTAGTCAGCGGTTTATGATTTCTATATTAGGTATAATACATATAATATAATTATAAGCATTTATTTGTTTTAATTACATATTACGTATTTATACTTTAACAGGTTAACTGTTGATTTGAAATACTTTTATTATTTTTGATAAAAAAAAGAAATATTTTTGAACAATAAACATAATATAACGTAATTGTTATTTTAAATGGTAATGCCTAAGTTTAGAATAACAGATAATTCATAGTTTAATACACACTTATTTATATATCGTAATTAACTACAGATAATATTATTTACATTTAAATTTATTGAAAATTATGTTACGTAATACAATATGTTAAATATTAAGTAACAATTGATGGTTTAAAGTAATGTAAAAATATTTATATAAAACTTATATATGGTATACCTAGAAAATGTACTAAAATAAATTAAAAACAATTAACAATTAAACATTTATTAAAAAAAATTGCTTGATTATAATTTGTATTATTAATGCACAACGTTTTAGAGTGATTCACCAGGGATAACCACTGATATTTTTTCTTTTAATAATTATTTATTTGTTAATATTTTGAATTTTAGAGTATTTATCTATACTTTTTTATGAACCATTTTTTCAAATATCTAGTGGGCATGCCAGCTTCTTTTTTCAAATGATTTTTTGAGTTCTTGTTTGAAAACCAAAGTTTGCTTCGCTAACAGAAAATCCTCAAATATTATACAAGTATATTAATAATACATCTATTATATGTATTCTATTAATTGTTATAAATAAAATTATTCTTAAATATTTAATTATCTATACATACAGCTATTGGTTGACTTTATTGGCATACTTGATAATAACTATAATATTATGATGTTTTTATGTGGTAATATCGATGTAAGAATCAATTTAGCATAATATTACAATAATTGATAAATAACAGTAAATTGGGGACATCACAACCAGTACAAATAAGTAGTGAGTCGACAGCTAATGTGAATATACATCGATCAGAATAATTATCAAATCAATTCACTACTTATGGGCATGATATTAAAACACTAGAGACCTATCTCCTGGACCTGAGTGGAGAGTGTATACGAATTCCAGGAGAAGGCCGTCTCGTGTGAAGTGTTGTTCCTGTTACCACAGCATATACATAAGCATTATATCTTTATTTATTTATTTACTACCATTAAATACATATTAAAATCTTAGGGATCAATTATTATTTTAAATTATAACATCTATATTATCTAGGTATATATTTGTATTTATCTGTTTAATCCTTGTTATTGAATATTATGTGGTATTTTATTATATTTAGGTAGCATTAGTAACTTTTGCAGTTTATGTACTATTTGACGATAACCATGTATTGGACGCACAAACAGATATTGTTTCTTTATCTTTATTTAACATTTTACGTTTTCCATTATTCATGTTACCAATGTTGATGTCAAATTTAGTACAAGTAAGTTTTCTGTTTAGCATCGTAGTAAGTGAATAAATGACTATTGTTTCCTTCGAAGTCTTATTAACATTTTATATAATCTCATCATTTTAATCTCTAAAGTGGATAAATAAGTCTATGAAATTCGAAGAGTTTGATCCAGATTCCGTCACCCATGATTCTGATGAGGGTATGTAACATTTTTCTTTATTTGATATGAAATATTTTTTATTTTGTTGTAATTTTACTAATTAATTTTTGTTTTTAGAGTAATTATCCTCTTGTTATTGAGAATGGTACATTTACTTGGGGTGACCCAACTGATGCATCACATTATCAAACACAAATTTACGAGTTTTATCTTTACAATTAATTTTATAGGGAATCAATTTAAATTGGATGCCAAAAACAAAGAGGAACTTTGGCAAGAGCAGTTTATAAATGGAGGGACATTTATTTTTCGGACGATCTATTAAGTGCTGTTGGATCATATATCGGTAAACATATTTTTGAACAAGCTATTGCACTTTAAGGATTGTTTCAGAAAAGGTAACAATATATTATATTACGTTTTATTAATCTTGATTTTTAACATAATAATTAATAATTAATTATTTTATGTCAAAGACACGAATTTTGGCACTCATGGTATTACTTATTTCAGAGAAGACGTTTTAATAATTTTTATAAATTACTTTTAATGGATTTTAAGAACTATTTCTAATATTTTGGGTTATTTACATTTTTTAGAACTACACTGCTTGAATAGGATGTGCACCATCTGGTTTTATATAATCCGTGATTAGATTTTAATGTCGAAGATCCATATTTTGCTAAAATAATAAATAATTTAAGACAAACAACTAATATTTCTGAAAGTAAATAAATAATTTATTTTAGGAAGACACTATATTGTTTAGTTTTAACTGTAAGAAAACTGGTTTAAGAGTAAAAACATCTATTATTGAAATTTATAGAGAACAATATTTAGGAGGGAACTTAAAGTCAACGCAGAGAACTTGATTGAAAATAAATTGAACAATTTATGCGAACAATTTAATTCTATAATCAACAAACAGTGTCATCAATGGGTGGCTAATTTCATCAAATTAATTTCCCTGTGAATGTTCTTTTTGCATATATTCTTATTGTATTAATGACACAGATTACATATTACTTGTAAAAAAAAAAAAAAAATAATCAACAAACACATTGCGGGTAAACGAATATATTTTTGTGGTAGAAGAAGAAGTTACAAGTTACAGCAACAGAACATTTCAAATTTCAACATACAGAACAACTAAAAATACAAAAAAACCATAAAAAAAATGTTGTCCTGACTGACTTACTGACTGATCATAGATTAATAGTACCTATATGATAATTTTGTGTTTCATTCAATTCATTCAATTTTTCAATTTTTACAACCGTTATAAGATATTCATTTAATCTTTTCATAGTGTAGGTACTAAACTACTAAATAGTAAACGCCACTACAGAATACAGACAAGTCGGGTCGCGGGTATAAAAAACTTCACATTAAGAATTAAGATTAACCAACATTCTTATCAATTTTTATATTTTTGTGTACATCATAAGAATTTATTTAAGCCGTTTTTTTAAAGTTTTTTTCTTATAATTTGACTATACTTAATACATAGGGACATAGAGACATACAGTAGTACAACTGCTCTATGACATAATATGACAGACAGTATTCCGTTATAGTGTGGTACAGTATACACTTGATATTACAACCGTGGTCCGTCATAACATTGGACAATAATAATCACTACCAAATAAATAATAAATATCATGGGTATCAATATCATTATTTTATTACCTAGGTACATTATTTATTTATTTATTTTTTTTTTTTACCGTGATCAAAATATTATAATAAAAATTTCCAAGGGGTGTGGGAGATCCGCCACTCAGCAAAGCCACTGAATTGTATTATGATTAAAAAATATGGAATAATTGTCACATAGAAAGTTTATGTGATAGAAGGTACCTCACGTACAAAATTATTACATACAATTACGCAATGCATGGGGTGCATTAGTAAATAGTTATTTTTATTTTTATTTAGAAACTATACAATCTTTACAATATGAAATAGTACAATAAGCGTAAGTGATATTATTTCTATATAATGTAATGACTTGAAGAAAGAACCAACCATTGAAGGCACTTTTGTGTAAATAGTTATATTTTAATTTTATCAATGACGTGGTTACCGCAATGGTCATATGACTTTCTGTTTATAATATATTAGGTACAATATGTAAATACATAATACACTCTGTGAATATGCAATATTTTTAAAACCATTATTATAACTTATTATTTAATACTTATTATATTTATAAATAATATTTGATACTTCGGATTATTTTTTTTTTTTTAAACAATTAGTTTTTATAAAATGGAATATATTTAAAAAATTAACTTAAAGTGACAATAAAATTAATTAACTCCCAAATTACTTCATATTCTGGAAAATATTCTATTCGAGCTACTCAACATTAGTTTATGATTATTGTACCAACAACACCTGATTTGGAAGATATTATTTAAAAAAAAAAATTTTAATATGTTTATTAGACTATTTATTATGATAGTTGGTATATTAGATAATTCTAAAGACATTTTTATATATTTTGATTAATTAATAATGTGCAAGTTATTTTAATTTCTTAAAGATATTGATGTGTATTTCAAAATGTTAATTATCTTTACCTTAGAATATCCAACACAATGTACTTT